AATTCTCGTTTCAATTCCCAATCGACAAACATGAATTCAACTGGCATGCATCTGATCTTACCAAAAATGAAATTCAATTACTATTCTGGCATAGACTGTTTGGCCATTCTGTCCTGAGACGCATCTGTAAGATGGTCAAACTGAACCTTGGCATAGGCCTACCATCAGACATCCCTAAGGGCGATATCAAATTCCCCGTCTGCATGATTGCCAAAGGAACTAGGACAACTAAGCTGAAACCGACTTATCGGCCAAATGAAGTCCTGGGTATAATCGCCTGTGATCTGATGGGCCCTTTTGAGATATCCACCTTTGCTAATGGACGCTATGTACTGACAATTCAAGACCTTTCCAGTTCCTATAGTGAGGTGAAAATATTGACAAAAAAGAGTGATGCAACCAAACAACTAACAGAACAGATCCTTTGTTTTGAGACTGCAACAGGAAAGAAATTTAAATGCCTCAGATCAGACAATGGTGGAGAATTTGAGAACAAGGTCCTGGCGGAATTCCTGAAGTCAAAAGGGATCAAGGCGGAGAGGTCCTTACCTTACCACCACTATCAAAATGGTGCAATAGAGAGGTATAACCGTACTGTGTCTGACATGGGCCGGTCCGTCCTAACGGATAGCCACCTACCAAAAGGGTTTTGGGGTTTCGCCTTCCTTTGGGCAAACTATACCTTGAATAGGTTGCCAAACAAGTTAAGTGGCAACCTAACCCCTTTTGAAGCATTCTACGGCCATAAGCCAGCCCTTGACCATATGAGAGTGTTTGGCACCAAAGCTTTTGTGCTGACATCACCAGAGAAACGCCAATGATTGGATGACCGTGGCACTGAAGCGTATGTCGTGGGGTACATTGATGGCGGCAAAGGATGGATGTTTTGGATTCCATCATCCAATAAAATAGTTCACTCCGCATGGGCCACGTTTGCGGAGGACCCTCTGAAGCTGACCACTGGCACAAAGCCTACTAACGTTCATTTAGACCCGCTACTGATTTCAAACAGAGACAACAACATTGATCCAGCACTTCAAGATGACGGCCCTAAGGCCCTACGTTTTGTCATGGCGGCGGAACTCGGCAATTTCTCTGATGAAATAAAGGTTCAACAGCAGGAATCTCTTCAGGACAAGCTATCGGAAAAGACAAAATCTCTGCAACCAACACTAAAGACTTATAAGGACATTCTCAAGCACCCAGAAAGAGAAGGATGGCTGAAGGCTATTCAAGAGGAACTACAGAACCTTTTCCAACACGAGATCTGGACAATCGAGTTAGTCCCACATGGAAAACTTGTTATGGGGGCCAGATGGGTATTTGTGGAAAAGAGGACCCCAGACGGCAAATTGATCAAATTGAAGGCAAGGTATGTAGCAAAAGGCTATGCCCAAATTGCAGCAGTAGAGATTTTAGACACATTTGCACCAACGGCGACATTTGTGTCGCTACGCTTACTACTGACTGTTGCAGCCAAGTGCAATTGGCCTGTCTACTCCTTCGATTTTGTAGCAGCATACCTTCACTCGCCAATTGACCAGGAGGTTTGGGTAAGACCCCCGGAAGGTCTGGAGGTGCCGAAAGGCTATGCATGCAAACTTCAAAAAGCTTTGTACGGCATGAAACAGGCAGCTTGGTGCTGGTGGAAACACCTTCAAGGAAAACTGAAAAGCCTAGGTTATACACCGAGTCAATTTGATTCCTCTCTTTATATCTTACAGCATCCGGTTCATCGAGGCGCGATTTGGGTACATGTGGACGATGGAGTTGTCACTGGCTCAGATGACGATATTTTACGCCAACTCAAATCAGGACTAAAAGACTGCTTGGAGATAAAATGGCAACAAGGTGTTGAGAACATCGTATGGGTAGAAGTAGAAAGAACAGAAGGCAAGTTTACACTATGACAAAATACTAGAGGAACATTGGGATAAGACCTCAACGGCAAAGACCCCACTCCCGTCAGGTTTTAATCCATTGACTGATGAATTCCAAGACGGAGAGCCATCTACTTCTACTCGATATTTATCTTTGGTAGGGAGCCTGAGTTATCTAGCAGTGGGGAAGAGACCGGATATAGCCTATGCAGTCAACTCCATGGGCGCCTTTTCAGTTCCAACCCCAGCCCCATTCACTCGAAAGGCCCTTCCGCCAGATGGTCAACTACATTGCCAAC